GATCGTAGCCGGCCCCCTCCTCCAGAGCCCATATGACCTCTTTGCTGGGGACCACCGCCTTGCGCTGTGGCCTGGTGACCGTGTCCGTGAGCGCCTCTTCCAATAAACTCTTCTTGGACTTGAGGCGATGGAGCTCGTCTATCTTCAGCAACCCGAAGGTCTTGGAAAACCACTTGAGGGTGTTCCACACCTGCCGTAACTTGCACGGGGTGACCTCCTCTTCGGCGAGCTGGTTAAGGAGAGAGCGGACATGTCGTTCCTGCCATGGAACCACTGTGAAGCCTCTCTTCCGGAGACTCTCGTAGACCAGGCAATGTTGCCTGAGTGTCCGGAACCTACTGTCCCCCAAGAGGTCCAATGCCTCCTTGCGGAAGTCCTCCCCCAGGATGTCCTGCATGTATGCGATGTGCTCCGCAAAAGGGGCGAAGTGGGCAAGGAGCCGCTCCGGCTCCATTTCCCTGATTTTCCCCGGCCGCCAGTGCCTCCACTTCAGAAGCTCCGGCTGTTGGAGTGGGGGTGGGTCATCTCGTGAGAACCACCTCAGTTGGTCCTGGCGGTCCCATTCATTCTCCAGCGGGGAAAAGTTCTCGCTAGGCTTGCCATCCACAGTCGCCATGAGGAGGAACCATAAGCTATCCCATACATCGGCCAGGTCCGCCGCGGACAGAGGCTGGGGAAGCCTGCCCGCCGCCGACGCCACCAGGCCGTTGAAGTAGTCCGTCGGGACCACTTGGTCGTCTTGCCCTACCGGAATGCCCGAGAGTTCCAGGAGCTGGGCGAAGCGGACTGCCGGCTCCCCGCCCAGCTTCCTCCCCTCCTCCTCCATGCCATGGCGCAGGCACATCAGGACCAACAGCTCCCCGTCTGTCTCGGGGAGAAGGACTCATCCGCCAATGTGTCCCATAGGACCCTTGGAATTCGGTCCCAAAGACGTGTGTAAGGCGGGCGCAAAAGAAACTTTGTAGAAACCCTAGCCATGATGAAAAGGGGGGGTTCGAGCCTCCTATCGAACGGCCGGGACCCAACCGCGGCACAATGCATGCAAGTTCCAAACGCGCAGAATGCCGAGTGCAAATGGAGCAGGCGGGCCACACGCAGCCCGACAGGACCAAAAGTCAACCCCCGGAAATCCCCAAAAGCACGGAGGGGGGAAGACCAACCAGGCGGGGGATTCCCCAAAACCCCCAAGGGGACCTCAGGGAAACCAAGGGTCAGCCGCAGCCACTTTTCCTCACCAGCTGCAGGCATGTGGCCTTGTCTTTGTGCCACCCCGTGATCTGGAGCAGCCTGGTCCCCCCACGGCTCGCCCTCCAGAAGCCCTTGCAAAATCTGCACATAAAGCCCCCGGTGGTCTTGAACTTCTCCTTGCCCACCACTTCCCAGGCGCTGATGCTGGGCAAGACCAAGCCACACTCCACGGAGGCCCAGAACACATGCTTCGTCTCCTTGGGGAAGTGCCCGTGACCGCCGTGACCGTGGCCGTGGTGATGGGCGGGTATCGCCTGGTGCCCTGGTCCGGTGTGCGGAGCGTGGTGTCTGCCCCCCCCAGAACCTTCGCCTTGGGGTCCGCCTCCTTGGCCGCTCCTCCCCCGGGGCCAGAGGCACCCAAAGGGGGGGAGCAACCCAGCTGCCGGATGAGGTCCTGGGAGTAACCCAACCTGTCGTACAAGGCCCCCGCCGCCTCCTGCGGGCCTGCTCGACCCAGTCGTGGACCACGTTGCATCGCCAGTTGACCTTCACCTCCACCATCGAGGACTTGCTCAGGCCCGCCACCAACTTGGTGTAGACCGAGTCGAAGGCCTTCAGCGATGCCAGCGGGAGGGTGATCCGCTCGTCGCAGACCGCCCTGAAACGCAGCGCCTCCTTACTGTCGTGGACGGGGGCCACTGGGATCTCCATCACAGGCAAGGGGCAGTTGACGATGAAATTCTTGGCCGCCAAAAACGTCCCCATCTCCTTGAAGATGTAGCTCCATTCCGCCTTGCTGCGCGGCTTGGGGATGCCCAGGCTCTCCAGGAAGGGCACCGCCTCCTTCCTCATCTGGGGGATGTTGCCCATCCACTTGTCCGAGGTCGAGCCCTCCGCATTGCGGCCCCGGCGTTGCGTCTTCACGATCAGCGGGAAAGTGGTCCAGGCCGAGTAGATGGCACCAGGGAGAGCTACGGATGTTTGGGGGGATCTGGAAGAAGCACTCAAGCGGTGAGATCCCCAAGGGCGCTGACCAGCAGTTCAAGCTCACGCCGGAGGAGCTTCTGGCCCTGGAGCGCAGGACTCACCCACTCACGTGCGAGCAGGACCACATCGACCCAGTCATCTACTCGGCCTTGGAGATCCGAGCGCAGGTGAACCGGGGCGAGCGCCCGGCGCCGGAGCAGGTGGTGGGGATCTTCTGGGCGAAAGGTGATGGGGTGTTTTGGACCAGGCAGACAAGAACGTGGGACCTGCCGAGCCTGACGGGGGTGTACGCCCACAGGTTCACTTTCTCTTCATCGCCCAGAGGAGCAGGGACAGCTTGCCCTCCTCCGAGTCCAGGTCCTGCTGTGACATTGGCTGGTCCCCCCCAGGGCCAGTGGCACCCTTGAGGAGGGCCGGTGCCACCAGATCGGGCATCGCGCCTCCTGATTCCATGGGTTCTGCGACTCTCTGAGCCTCCTGATGTAGGGGACATACTTCTCCTTGATGTCTCCCACCTGGGGGATGTCCTCAGGGTCATCCAGCTCCAGGGGCAGAATAGCCCCCTCTCCAGGGCCTGCCTGAGATCATCCGGCCACGCAACACTTCCAAGGGCTTGAGAGTGTGGTTAAGCATCCATGCCTGGTTGGTGTCCTGATTGCGCTTGTTCGCCGCCTGAGCCTCCTGAATGGAGCCCATCGCCTCAGCCAGTGCCTGGCTGGCGTCAACGCCCTTCCCCTCCAGGTACTGGTCTCGCAGCTTGGCCTTGAATCGCTCCAGGTTGACCTTTTTGAGGGCGGCTCCCTCATTGGCCACCTCTTCTGACGGCAGGGCCTGCATGCCCTCCTGGAGAGGCGCCAGGATAGCCATCTCATTGTCCAGCATCTCCTCCGTGACCAACGCCGCCTGGCCGAGGACTCCTCTGGGGTCGGTTCCCGATGCTCCCTCAAGGCCTTATGCAGCTCCTCCTTCTTCCGGATCGCCTGGTCCATGTGGGGGTGGTAGAGCTGGAAGCTCTGAGCCTCCGCCTCCTTCAGGGACCGCTGCACTTTGACCTTGATCTCCTGGCATTCCCGGACCTTCAACGCCTCGTCGTCCGCCTCCATGGACAGGATCTCCTGCCGGATGTCCACCCGCCTGTTGAGCGGGACCACGTCTGCCATGGTGATCTCCTCTGCCGTGTCCGTTTTCGGAGGAGCTCTCCCCAGGACCGTGCCGTCCACCAGGTTGCGGTCTGCCTGTGCCCGGGTACCACCGGGGCCAGCGGCACCAGGTCGGCTTGCCCTCCACAATGAGCAGGTTGTAGGTGATGCCGTCCGCCTCATAGGTAGCCGAGGGTGCCTGGAAGGGGACGAACTCAGACCCAGCACTGCTTGGCTGCCTCTGGCCACCCCGTGCCGCATGCCTTGCACATGAACTTGTAATCGGAGTGGCCTGCATCGAGTCTGTGCATTTGCTGGGTGCCAATGCACGCCTTGTTCCTCTGGAACTGCGAGGCCCAGACCTATCTGGATCTTCATCGGGACATAGGCCTCAAGGATACGAATCACCCGAAGGACCGGGAAGAGGTCTGGGAGGTCCACCAGCTTGAAGTAACCGGGTCGGCCCTCAACCGGCACCAAGGAGACCGGTTTGTTCACATGAGCCGTGGTCTTCTGGGAAGCCGCCACGAAACCCCTCAGCCTCTTCGTGGGTGGCGTCTGTGCCTCCTCCGGTGGAGTGGCCTGCTCCGTGACGTCCGCATCTTCCATGTCCTTGTCCTCCTCCTCGGCGGGGCCAGGGGCACCCAAGCCGGAAGTCGGTGTGGCAAACGCCACACGGAGACGCTCCAGTGCACTGGAGAGGTCCTTCATCACGTCGGTAGCCGAAGCCGACGGGGGGGCCTCGGGCTCGTCCAAAACCAGGCCGGCCGCCACTGCCGCCTCGCGTGTGCGAAGTTCCTGGGCCTCCTGGCTGGCCATTTCCACCTCCTCCACGGTGAGCGTCTGGTCCTCAATCAGCTCAAAGGAGGTTGCCGAGGTTGCCGAGGAAGCCATTGCTTGATCGGGGTTAGTTCGAAGGTGTCCAAACTCAGATTTTTTTCTCACAAATTGGGTTCTAGGAACCAAGGGCAAAGCTTGAGCCAAAATGGCATATGCCATTATGGTCAAGCATTTCAAACACAGTTCATGTTTCCACATGCGTTTCAACATTAACAAAGTTTCTTGTTGTTTTCTTTTTTGTCTTTGGGGGCGGGGGCGGGGAAGCGGGCGGGGTGGTCCTCCTGGTATTCCAGAAAACTCTTTCAGGTGGAAGCTAGGGTCGGAAGGTTTCATGAATCTATTAGCCCTCGAGCTTTTGAGCGCCTTCTTTTCAAGGTCTTATCTTCAGCTTGGTCTGGGGTTATCCGGGATGGACACCCCCATAGAACCCCCCGAACAGGCCATGTTGATTAAGGCGCCCTTTTTGGGAAAGGAACCGGAACACAACATGGATCAGATGGGACAGGGGGGAGGGCGGGAAGAGAACAGTGCATGTCCCATGGACAGCAAAAGGCGGCACCGTCCCTAGAATGATCCCTCGCCACGCCGTCCCAAGGGTGCTCTTCAAACCAAACATCCCCGTCCGCCAGCCCTCCTGGATGCCGTTGTCCCTTAAACATCCCTGCAACAGAAACCCACCTTTGGCCCAAAAGCTGCTGTTTGAACCAGACAGAAAAGGAGATCTGCTGCATCCCCGTCGTAGGGTGGGGCCACCCATGGGTTTAAACATGTTTAATGTTTAAACCATATTTTGCCCCACCCGTCCTTTCTGCCCAAGTCCCAAAGGCTCCGATGCTGCCAAACCGCCATCTTCAAGCCGCGGCCGGGGCCCACGTCGCCCAGAGCCGGAGTCATCTTCGGGGAGAAGAACCTCAGCGCCCGACACGGCGCCCGAAACAACGCCCCCGGGTTGGCGCCAGCTCGGTGGGCGGAGTGGCCCCGGCATGCGGCAGAATGAAGATGGAACCTGAAAAGAAGCATCCTCGAGAGTATCCGAATCTGCTTCAGCTGACCGACCGGCTGTTTGGGACCTTGCCTTCATCCGTCCGCCGCAAAAGAAAAAAACCATGGCCGCAGCAGAGCAGCGAAAGGTTACCTCCTAATGCTTGCGAGAAGGAAACCCTGCACAGTCACCAGGGGTAAAAGACTTCTTATGTGCCATTTAATGATGAAAGCTCCCACTGGCACCTGAATACATTAATCATTATGCGGAAAAGCAGCACAGACAACCTCAAAAAACTCAACATTGTTGTGGAAGAAAGGCAAGCAAATGCCAAAGTTGGAAAGGCGGTGGGGGGGGAGGAGGGGAGGCACAACGCAACTAGAAATAAGGGAAGACCCAAATAACGGACCTTCATGACGGGCTTTAGCTCGTTTTACCTGACCTTCATCAATGTGCCGTTGCCCCATAATCTGATATCTATACATGTATACAACAAAAAAACATACATATAATAGATTCAAATCCGGACCGAAAGATGATAAATTGGAGGTCAAGAAGCAGCTCCGGGCTTCGAACACTTAGGGCCAACCCCCCCCCCTCGCCCATCCCCTCGGCTCCAACCGCCAGCTTCCACCCGCCGCGCCACGTGCGCTCCGCGAGGCGGCCCAGCACCCGCTCCGCCGGCAGCAGCGCCTCCTATCTGAAGGAAGGGGCACGCGGGGTGCCCGAAACAAACCATGAAGACCAACCCCAATTCTGCCTTATCGCTACAATTTCATTGACTGAAAGGTACAATCCAGCACATATTCTACCTTTCAATCGCTACAGTTTCCTGTAAAATGACCAAAGGAAGGGTGTTCATCCATGCCATGAACATCAATGAAAATTTCCCTAGAGCCCCAGATTGTCTTGAGTCTTGAGAGTCATCAGATTCCTGAGAGAAATACCCCCCATTCCAGCATTCCAAGGGAACCATGGGCCTGCAGGAGGTCGAATACCAAGATCCTCAGCTACCAAGATCCTCAGCACCAATGATCCACCATATTTCCATAAATCCCGGCACAAAATGCTAAAACCCTGCTGTGCCGGTGTGGTTCACCATACCAAGCCCTCACACCTCACGGACCGCCACTGCGCTCTCACTCTGACACACACACACACACACACACACACTTCAACTCCCAAGGGAGGGTGCTAATCATTCGAGTACAACTGATGAGTCTCGAGTACAACTGATGAGTCTCGAGTACAACTGATAAGTCTCGAGTGCGATAAGTTTCGGCTCGCAATACACTTGGCTTCCCTGTAGCTACTTTAACAGGGGCACAAAGAAGCAACGGCGGTTCAGGGAGGGGACCAAAAGGACATTCACAAACATCACAATTGCAGGTACGTCCCACGGCGTCCCTTTGGATTTCACCAGCAAAGAAGGGCGTTTTCATTGGCGCAGGTCCCTTCAATGCTGCCCGCGCCCCCTGCAGAAAAAAAAAAAGTTTGGTGGCAGGGTATTCTGCCACTCCGCACACACACGCCCCTCAAAGAGGGGCGAGAAGCACTTTTTCGGGGGGGGCCGGGGGGAAACACGCGCCCCAAAACCGGGCGAAGACCGCAACAGAAAAGAAACAGAGCAGGAAAACAAAGGAAACAGAAAGGCCCCACGTTGGGTCTCCGCGGGCAAAACCCAACCAAGAAACACGAAAAACAGGGGAACCCGAGTTTAGGGTCACCGCCGAGGGCAAAGAACCCCAAACAGCCTAGAAACCCTCCTAAACCTAGTAGAAGAAGAGCACCGCGAAGTTGAAGAACGACACCACGAACACGCCATCCCTAAACGGGCGAAGAGGAACAACAGGAAGTAGTTGGAAAAGAGGGAGGAGAAAAGAGGGAAAGAAAGAAAGAAAGAAAGAAAGAAAGAAAGAAAGAAAGAAAGAAAGAAAGAAAGAAAGAAAGAGAGAGCGAGAAAGAGAGAACAAGAAGAGAAAAAGGGGTCCGAGATGCGTACTTAGGGCGCCGCAGCCCGCCCGGGGGAAGGAAAAAGGAAAGAAAGGGAAAGAGAAAAAGAAGAAGGAGAGAAAAGAAGACAAAGGGAGCGAGATGCGTATTTAGGGCGCCGCAGCCCGCCCGGGGAGAGGAGAAAGGAGAAAAAAGAAAAGCAAAGAAAAGAAGCAGAAGACAAGGAGACAAAAGGAGAAAAGAAGGAAGAAGGAAGAAGGAAGAGGAAGAGGGATGTAGTACGCGTTTTTAGGGCGACGCATCCCGCCCAGACAGGAACAGAGGATGAAGACCAAGGCTCGAGGAGGAAGACGTCGAATCCCACACGGGGGCCAAGAGGCCGGACACGAAATAGCAACGGAAGGGGACGAAGACGTCAAGCCAAACCACGTGAGGAAGACGAGGAGTAGGAACAGGTAGACGGACAAGAAGACGAAGACGAGGAAAAAGGTGAGCAACGCGAGGACAACCAGGCCATCCCTAAGCGGGCGAGGAGGAGGAGGACGAACGCGCGGGTCACGAAAGGCAGCAAGAAGAGAACGAGGAAGGAGAAGCCATCCCTAGGCGGGCGAAGAACCAGAAGACGGGCACGCGGAAGACGAAGGCGAGAAGAAAGAAGGGTGAGACTTAGCTATGATCTGACGGCTGTCTTCCCTTTAGTGAAACCTCGTTCCTGCTTAAGCGTGAAATTCCGCTGAGCTGTGATAAGAACGTTGAGGTCAAAATTTTCCGGCGAACCGGCCCGGGGTCACACGATGGGTACACCCGAGGTTCCCCCAAGATGGGGTGATCACACTTCAACTCCCAAGGGAGGGTGCTAATCATTCGAGTACAACTGATGAGTCTCGAGTACAACTGATGAGTCTCGAGTACAACTGATAAGTCTCGAGTGCGATAAGTTTCGGCTCGCAATACACTTGGCCTCCCTGTAGCTACTTTAACAGGGGCACAAAGAAGCAACGGCGGTTCAGGGAGGGGACCAAAAGGACATTCACAAACATCACAATTGCAGGTACGTCCAACGGCGTCCCGTTGGATTTCACCAGCAAAGAAGGGCGTCTGCGTTGGCGCAGGTCCCTTCAATGCTGCCCGCGCCCCCTGCAGAAGAAAAAAGTTTTGGTGGCAGGGTATTCTGCCACTCCGCACACACACACACACACCATGTGTGTGTGTTTTTTATATATACATACATGTACATATATGTAGGTATATATACATAATGTATACACAAATATATATACCAATGTCAATGTGTGTACCTCATCCATTGAAGCATTTCGACCACGAAGAAATGTCGAATCAATCCGTCTCCGCATAAGCAGTCATGTCCGTGGAGACGGGTTCCGTTTTACCAAGACTGCTGGGCAGTTGCAAGCCTCCAAATAGATGGTGGCAAGTTCGAGGACGGAGTTGCTCTGGATCCCCAGATGTCGGTGCAACATGTGATCCCATGATAAAGCATTAACACGTGGGGCAAATCTGTATGCCCCCTGCACTGCAAAGCAAGGCGCGGATTCCCTTCATTTTCCTCTGATTCAAAAACCTCACTTGACTTCGCTCGTCTTTCCGGATCCCCCGCGTCTGGGCACCAACCATATTGAGAAGTCTATGGCAATAAGAAGTGCTCAACATTGATCCCTGGAATCCTGGGAAAAAGAGTTTGTTGAGCAGAGTTCATTCATGACGGTAACTTCCTGCGTCTCTACCATCAGTGGCACCTGCAACAGAAGCCAGGTTGTGCCCCCTGACCACCCGCAGACAATGAGTCGTGAGAGCGACGACGTGGTGGCTACCTATTTTGGCATCATGAAAAACAAGGCTTCCCCCCGCCAAATTGGGGTTGGGGCGACCACCGTTTGAATGCCAAGCCTCGTGCATTTGTTTGTTTCACCATGATCAAAGTCGGCCCCTGTCTGAAAAGTGGAGAAAGCGGACCCAAAAATGACGTTGACAACCTGAACCTCAAACTGTGAAGTGGAGGAAATGCTCAGTTGCCCCTAAACCACACTTTCGTAAGCTGCGTTGTTACTCGGAAGTTCTCTTGTTGGCGGACCTCCTTTTGGTTGGCTCCATGTTAAGCTGGGGAGCTGCAACCTGCCGCGTATTCCACAGGACCCAGATCTCCTCCCCCCGCCCCCCCAATCCCCCCGGTCCCCCCCACGCGGAATTCGTCCTCCACGTGGCCACACCGATCACAGATCCACTTGGCGCCGTCAAAGCGGCACTCCGCGCTGCCTGAGACGTCAAATGGATCCAGGAGATGGATCCGAAGTGGTCAGCGGGCGTGTTTTCTGTGACGCAGTACCGGGTTGTGTTTTTTCTGTTCAGATTCGCTTAGTACCCTCTTCCCAACAACCTCAGATGCCCAGTGGCCATGGGAAAAAAGGGCATCTTTTCTGGTTGGTTGGCTTTAAAGTGGAACCCTTCCCAAGACACAAGGAAAAAAGGGCACCACTGGGCAACTGAGCAACCGTGGAAGTGAACAAATGGCTTCCCAACAAAGTAGTCGTCAAAAACCCTTCTGTCAGCTTCCACGACTGGAGGGTGTGATTTCTGGAACCTGCCTACACACAAGTAGTCAGTCGCCAGTCAACGAATCAAATTGCCTCATATTTCTTTTAGGATTTCTTGGTCGGGCTAGTGTATACTCGTAAGCGTCCACTCGGGAAAATAGTCCCCTCGTTGGTGGTGGGTTCGTACCCGTGCTTGCCCTTGAAAACTATCCAAAACTGGTTGTCTCTCGCTCTCCCTCCCCTTTTTCATGTTAACTTCGGATGATATCACTCAGGCTCCCCATTTGGTGGGAAATGAAACCATTTCACAGCGATGCGCTTCTCTTTGGTGTCCCTGTAAAATCGGGTAGCCAACTGATTCTCCTTCCTCCCACGTTGCCATGGCACCTGACAGAGAGTTGAAGAGGAACTCTTCCAGGTACCCTCCCACAATTGCCTTCTGTTCGTGGGAAGGGTAACGGGTATCATCCTCAAAATGGGGAAACCAACTTCAACTACTGTGGACGAAATCCATTGCGCACCACCGTTCAGATTCGATTCCCCAGCGTAAATACCAAGAAACGTTCGGGTTTCAAATCAAACAGATGCCAACAAGTGTTATGGTTTCCACCATGGAATCAAACTTCGTGGTGCGAAACAGCTCTCGCAACCATCCACAGTACTGTGGGTGGTTACGAAATCTAGTACGCACTGGAAACCATGCTTGAAACCATTGTTTTGCTAGTATTTACCAAGGGACTCATCAGAAACCAGGGGATTCTGAACGCTGCGAAATGGATTTCGCAACCCGCAGGACCCGCGGTACCCGGACGGCACGGACGCCGCGCCTGGCACATAGCTCCCCAAGGGCAGCGCCGGGGCCGCCTTCAAGGCGGCCTCCAGGGCGCAGCGTGCCGCGGCCTCCTCCTTGGACTTTCAACGGACTCCGAGGGCTTTGGACTAGGCTTTGACCTCCGAAGCACACAAGGCCAGACAGCAGGGCATCCATTCCCGCCAGAACGGTATGAGTCATGGGTCCCATGGGAACACCTAGCCTGCTCAAAAGCCAAATGAGGCAATGTCAACCGCACCATTGTGGCATTGTCCTTGGTGGTCTTTTCAGGGGGAAAGAGCTGGAAAGAGGGGGGTTGTGGTTGTTCCTAGTTTGGAGCTTCTTTTGAGGGGTGCCTTCTTCTGCCGTCCTTGAGTAAACCACGAACCAAGAAAACGGGTTGCAAATTTGGGGGCGGGGGATCCGACGGATCTCTGATTTAGCCTCGTAGATGGCCCGCGTCCATTCCAGAAATCCGACAAGGAAATGGTTGATGGGGTTCCTCAACCTACTAAAATGGGGTTTTCATGCTGCTTGTATGTAAGGAAATGGTTGATGATGGCTGACAACCTACTGAAAAAAGCAAAATGAAGGGGTCGGTTCAGTTTACCGAACCGAAAAATCAAAGCGCCTTTTGGTTGGTCGGCGTACCCTCTTGCCTTGTCCACCAGCCAATGGCCGAAAGTCAATCCTGGGAAAGAGTACCGAAAGTGCTTGGCGCAGTTGGGATATATATATATATATACGCATATGCGTACATTACATATGCATATTTGTATGTGTATATATATATATATATGTATACATACATGTTCCTTTGATCTGCATTCCTGCCAAAGCCCACTTTTCCTGCCCTTTGCCAAAACAACACACCGAGCGCAGCCGACAGGATGCGGCCGCGTGTTTCCCCACTCCTCCGTCTCATCCTCCCCGATGGGAGTCTGCACATCGTCCGGCGGCAGAAGCCTGAGCTTTCAGGTCGCGCCGGGTTCTTTCCAGTCAGTCTGCCAGCTGCAAAAAAGTGAGAAAAGGATGGCCCGAATTTCTGCCCGGTTACCGAAAAAGAAACAACCACCCAAAAGAAGATGCCTCTTTGTGACCATGTGGTTTGCTGGCCGTTCCGCTGGTTTGAGTGCAGGCTGTCCGGGTGAGCCAACAAACCAAGCAGCGCACACCAATTGCGTTGTTGGGAACTTGCGAATGCGCCCTAGCGCGCTAGCCTGTCAATCCGCCTTTCCACAGGGATGATACCCTACTAATAAACGCAACATGCCTAATGTAAAAATATGTCCAAACCATGGAGCCTGGCAAGTCGCAGGTTTCCAGTCTGCATCCTTTCCAACCCACCAAAAAGATCCCAGCATTTTGACGCATCCCTCTTCCTCTCTTTTTTGAGGAGTCCGCCTGGCATTTTCTCATTTTGTCCGGCATGGCTCGTATGACGAGTTTCTCAAAACCATTCTGCACTGAATATCATCAATTCAGCAACCAGACTCAGCAAGGGACTCGCAAAAAACCCCTAGATGAGCTCGCTCTAACACCTGGCCATGGGTCAACATCCAAAAATCTCGCACCCCCAGTGAACATCCTCCAACCACCAAAATAGGTTCTAAAATGGGTGGTGAATTCACCTACCAACCAACATGGGATCAACCAAAACGGCTTTGACACCCACAGCCACCTCTTGCCCGAACCGCTGTCCCGGGCACAGCTGCACAGCCTGCAGCCACCGGCCCACCGCCGCACCCAGATTCCCCACCGGCGCCACGCCCAAGGCCGCGCCGACCGGCTGCAGCCTGAAAGAGCGAGCAGCAATTTGGGGGTGAAAATGTACGGCATGGAATGTGATGCAATGTAAACCCCTTCTCCTAAAGAGGGAGGCGCACGGGAAGGGTGGTTCCAAGTCCAAGGGTGGTAGTTATCATGTAATCTAGAGGAATGTAATTTGATATAATGTGATGCATTGCAATGTATTGTAATGCATTGTAGCGCATGTATGTATACAAGTATGCTTGTGCATGCGGGCATGGCAATGCGTTGCCGGAATGCTGGTATGCCTGTGTGCAGGTCACCAGGCAGGTGTTCCCTTTTAAACTTCACCACATCTCAAGGAAATTCACCTTAAGGTTGACCCCATGTTCAACAACTCCACATTCAAAGGGGCCAAAAGGCGACGGCTGGGGAAATATAGGAAACCCAACTTCCATTTGCTTGAGTCCCCTGGAAAAAACAAACATATTTCCAGTAGTGATAGAGTCCCTTTCAAACCAACAGGGGCAAATAAAGAAAATATTAAGCCAATGGAAACCCGATCTGAGCAAGGTCTCGGCGCCTCTCGATCTCCACGTCTTGCACCCAGCCGCAAAGGTCCTCAGCCTGCGATCGGACGTGAGGACCGGCCGTTGCCGCGCAACTCCTTTGGGAGTGAGGTGTCCCCCTGTTTCCCATTTCAAGCACCCGAAAAGGGGCTCCCAAAGAAGAATCATGTCTGGTTTCTAACAAACCCTCACCTGGCAAGGGTTTGTTGGGGGCTGGCAACTGCAAGCACATTTGCCCTGCAAGGATGGCGTAACTTCCACAGCGAGAGGGCGGGGGCAAGGTATGTATATATATATATATATCAAAAAACAGGACACACCCTGATGCAAGGCTCCTGCATGGCAGTAGAAGTGACTTGCTTCATCTGGTTCGTCCTGTCGATATATTCTGGGCAATGCACACCCCTTTTTTAGGACAAAAACAAACCCAGTGTCACCAGCTCATCCTTCCTTTGCTCCACGTGCTGCATTTCTTTTTCCTTTGCCCCATTGAGGAGCCCCGCTTCGAACCCGAGCCGACAAACCGCTCCTCGACCTGGATCCAGCTCTCCAGTGAGCTGAGCACCTGGCATCGGGCCGCAGGTCGCCTCTGGGGCGCTTCCAAGGCCTTTACAAATGGATATGTGGCCATGGTCATGATGAGATTCCTCAGCACCAGCTACATATGTCTCACAATGCAGGGATCCCAAAATGGTGTGTGTGTGTGTGTGGGTGTGCCCTTAGTATACTTTGAACCAAACTTCTTTCCAACTTGAAAAAGGATACCCTCAAAAGCCTTCGCTGTCCGATTCTCGAAAAATCATCCGTTTTGAGACTGACCCGGAAGATCCCAACCGAAGCTCCCGGTACCAGGCATGGTCCACTCCGGAGTCATTCCACCTCCTTCGTATCGAACCAAATCGGCTCAAATCGGCTCAGGCCTTCACCTTGGCGCCCTGCAGAAGCCGCGTCTCGGCACTCCCAGAGCCTCGAGCGCGAGTGCGGCAGATTACACATGTTGAGATGTCGCATCTAAAATATTGGCCGATGCAACAAGACGTAGGTCTTATCACGTATACACACACAAAATATACACGTATGTGTTATTTACATAACACATGCAGATTTGTGTGTGTGTGTAGCCCTTATCTTCTTTAATCTACTATGTGGATATATATATATATATACTCGTGTTTGTGTGTGACGAGACCGGCAGATGCATGTATGAACCTGAGACGGGGTTCCCACTGAACCGCATCATCCAAATTAAGGCGGACATGCATAATGACATGCACCATGCCTAAACCAAAGGCTGAGACAGCACGACTCTGTGAGAATGTCAAAGACTCAGAACCCCTTTCAAACAGCTGCGCAACGTCCAGGAACCTCATCTTTCTTCCTTCTGGACAACCTGCCAGAATCTATGAGGCACTACTTTGGGAGAACGATCGAGCCCTCGCGCAGTGCGTCAACCCCAGAGATGGCCAGGCAGCGGTTTCTGGGAACTGAAAGTGAAAGGCGTGCACATGGGAGTGTGTGTGTGTGTGTGTTTTTTGACGGTACCATGTTTTGTGTTGGTTTGAAAGGAAGCCACGGGAAAACTCATCATTTTTGCGGGTACCTTACAAAAGAAGACACCCACATCTTCCCATCAAACAAGTGCTAACTGCCAGAAACCCCGAATCCCACCGAGGTGCTGGGCGCCTCTCGCAAGCAAAGGCCCTCAGGTCCCACCTCGCTCCGAAATCTGGCCACTCGGTTCCCTTAGGACGGATCGAAACTGGTGGTCCAAACTCCCCGCTTTTTGTTGCCAGTTGAATCGACCCAGTGTATTCATCGGGGAGATGTTCCTGGGTTTAGTGGGGCTAGCAGTTGCAATACTTGCCTACGCACAGTTGGCCGGAAGCCCGAATTCCCGCCCAAACTCATGAGCATGCTGACAAAGTAGGAAATAGGAATGACTCAATGTTCCTTTACAAGGTCACCAAAACGACGTCCAATAGCTTATGATTGCAACGCCCCTCCAAAATAGTTGCTGGACATTCTCAGGATCCAACCGGCCGACTCGAAAGATGCACAGAAATTGACCTGTTTTCCTGATTCGAGTGTTGCCAATGGAGGATGCCTTGAAAAAGCTTGGCATTTTTCAGCTTGACCTGTACACACCATCCGACCAAGGGGGCCCGCAAAAATCTGGGAAGCACGTTTCCGGCGCTCCGCAGGCCACCAAAACGGCCAGAATGGGCTTCTTTCGCAGAGGGGTAACTACAGCATCCTTGGGGTTACCGGTTACCACTCCGGGGAAACGAGAAAGGAACCGGAAGGAAGCCACCCATTTGCTGACAAAAAAGCCTGCCTCATAGGTCTGCTCCTGGGCGCAAGCGCGGCAGGCCACCACCCGCAGGGGGTCCTCCTGCGGGTACGCCGCGGGGAAAGAAGTGTTTGGCGCCTCGTTGGGTGTGTCTGGAAGCAAGACTTGCGAGTTCCCCCGCGAGCCAGAAAGGGGTCAGTGGCGCGACTTTCCCAACAAGAATAAAAAAAGAATAATAATAATAAAAAGTGAAGATCAGGTGTACCGTCGGCTTGGAACAAATTGTGGGGCAAGAAAGGCCTCAGCATTGGAAAGAAAGATCCTGTGGCCCCCAGAGTGCAGGTCCGGACTGTGGAAATGTGTTTTTCAGGGCCAAAAAAATGGTGATGCCCCTTCAAAGCGACACGGTTGTCCTGGGGGTGGCCATGTTGGAATCACGCATCACAGGGCGGCTGTCCACACCATAAAACAAACCTCAAACCTCGCCTTCATTGATTGATGGGCAAAGGGTTCCGAATGATTGTCCCGTTTGAGCTCTGCCCACGTGTGTCCTCTAAGTCCCGGCTCGTGGACTTACAAACCACCAGCGGCGATTCATTCCCTCGGTTCAGATGTAACCGCCAAACTGCTTACACAACCGAAACTTGTTGGTTTCCTTTAAGGGAACCGGACGGGGTGGTTGCAAACAAATCTTGCAAAGGAAAAGGCAAAAACCATCGTCCAAAGCGGACCTAAGCCTACTTCCCCCACTTCTCACCATGGAAAAATCCCACCCTCGACTGACGCGGTGACACTGCCACCGCTCCAGTCACCCCGAAGCGGAGCGGAGGGGCGGGCGGGCGCCTGGGCGGCGCACCGCGGGCAGCAGCACTCGAAGCACTTGGAGCGCCAGAGGTGGCGTCGCCGCAGCTCCGTGGGGAGCAAGAGCCTCAGAAAAGCCACGAAGGGACAAAGGCGGGTCCTTTCCGTTTACCACGGGACCACTTGGGGTAGAGTGATAGGTCCACTTGGGTGACTTTGAAACCTGCGAGTTTGGAAGCAAACCAAACCTCGATAAGGTCAAGGTGCGAAAGGAACCTAGGCCGAACTTTTGTGGCCAGGGGGGGGGGGGTAGGCGCGAGGCAGCGGTAAGGCGCTTGGGCGCGACATGTTTCGCGGAGGGCATGAATGGAGCTGGGATGGTGGACACTCCGACTTCGAGTCTTTTTGTGTTTGCGGTGCGATTCAAAAAATCAGGGGATGGTGGCGGTCCTCGTGTGTTCCGTCAAGGCGAAAAGTGGTACCCCTTCAATGAACAAACCCATTTGCCACCTTTCTGGCATTCGGCTGACATCCGGGTGCTGCAACATAGCCTCCAGGTGCCAAGAAGCTGCATAAGAGCAAAGGATGCCAATTCCGGGGCCCGGGAGCACACAAAAGCCAAAACATCTGGATCTGGCTGTGGGTCAAAACCCTGTACCCCTGATGAACATCAAAATAGGTGGCACATGGGTGTTCAATGGAGGCATAGGTTATGACCCATGGCCATCTCTTTTTGGACCCCCTTCCAGGCGGCTCGACACGTGAAACGTGCGGAAGGGTTCCGAAAAGTCGAGATGTTTCATCGAACATCCCTCGAAAGGGATTTGCATGCTGCCCCACTCCTCTAGCAGCATCACTGACTGCTTCATGCTCCGGAACGAGGGAATGATAGAGATTGATCTGTAATCTAACTTAGTCTTCTTCATTCATATTTCCTTCACTTTATCTCCTTCCTTGTCGTCTAGAAATTGCCTTAGGATCTGGTTCTCTTATCTGCTACCTTTCTATTTCTAACACATAATGAAGAGCTAAGATTCCAGTCCTCTTCTTCACTCCTGAACACCGAAGGATAGGAAATGACGACACCCATTCTGTGAACCACCCAACTCACGACTGCCTGCAGGGCCCAAGAAGTGTGGTTCATGCCGGCAGAAAACTACAGCTGCAAACATCGAAGCGTTTTGCCGCCACCTTCGCCACGATGTCCTTTCATTGGAATTCCTCTCAATACTGTTTGTTTCCCAAAGCTTTGTATGCCCGGCTGATCAAGGGTGCCTCAAGGTCCGTACTGTTGTTCCTCCACCAGGCAATAAGAAAAGCAAACATGCAGAACCCTTCTTTGGTCAGTTCAACTAGCCGCCTCGCAGTCCAGCCCTTACTTCTCCAAGTGACCTTCGGTGTCCCTTTCGACTAGACCCCAGCCCCGATGTCGCCCAAAAGCTCGCGGCCCAGGTAGGAGTGCATCAGCTCTTCGCCTTTTTGGATCTCCCGCAGGGCCCGGAACTGCCTCCGATTTCGAGATCCGAGGTCGAACTCCCGGACTTCTGGGACTCCCCCCCTACCCCCCCTACCCGGTTCCGGTTGGCTGTTAGAGGGAAGCCAAAAGGACACCGTCTTCTCGGATTGGGGCGCTCCCAATTTTGAGAGACTGAAACAAGCAGCGCCTTCCCGCGTCCTTGGCCCTTTCACGGGCCATTGGGATGAAGAAAAGCAACTGGTGCTGCGCATGTCAACCTTCGGCAAAAAAGCACCACCTCCCAAGCATGAAGGAAGCCAACCATGTGTTGTCCCACTTCTTGGAAAAGCGCCCCCATCTTGAGAGACATTCGGCCCCCTTGCCCGCTTTGGAAATGAACCTGGACATCCCCTTTAAAGACAACCCTGTTCTTGTCCTGAGAACCAGCAAGCTCCCGACCCAAAAGCCTTCGCTCGCTCATGTAGACCACGTTGGGGAAGCAGCTATGGTTGAGCCGGCTCAGCAGCAAGAAGCAGCTCCTAGGCGCACAGAAAATCGGATGGCCCAGGGCAAAAGCCGCTCCAGCCGTTCTGGGCGAACAATGATAAGAACAATATAGAACGATCAGAAAAATAGTTCGCAAACCTGAATCAAGAAATGGACCCCAAACAAGAACCCTTCCTCATATATGAAATCGGTCGCAAGCCCAACCCTTCCGTAAGGTCGCCATTTCCTAAGTGTGCCCCTTTTCCGTGGATGTTAGAAGAAACGCCACCCAAAGTGGGGTCACAGCCGCGCATGCGGGCCATCAGTCTGCGGACTGCGCCACTCCCCCGCAAAGATGTTCATCTCCACCGCCAGGATGGCACGCCTCGGTCGCTCTCCTTTCGACGCTGGGGGCTGGGGGGGGGGGGGGGGGGAAACTTGTTCAGCTCCTTTGAGAGAAGACTGGTCTTCCAGGACCCCCGGGTTAGGTGTATTCACAGCCTGTGATTTCGAAGCGTCCAAGGTGACCTTTCGAAAAAGAGGATGGGCTTGGTGACCCAAAACAGTCAGTGAATTGAGACACATGCAAACGCAAGTCTGGTGTGGATGGACAAGCCCATCTTGGCAGGCCACGCCTGATTTATCCGAAGATCCCCGGACCTGCAAAGTGAGCACAAATCATTGGCAAAGATTCAGAGACAAAAGATGTGGTCTTCTTCAGTTTTAGTTCACCATCTGAGGGCCTCCAAGAGCAAAGGTTCTTTGGACAAGCAAAGCTGACTGCCGACTTCCCCCAAAGTAGGACGCCCCCCGGATGACTCATCTGCCTTTTTTGTTGGAAGAACAAACGGAACCAACTGAAACCAGGTGATGCTCATTCCCAAACTGAACTCCCCTGCAACATCGTGAAACCCAGACAGTTCCCCAAAAGGAGACGCCTCCAAAAATGGATTGGTTGGTTAAATGCCTTGGGTTAATCTGCAAGAAACCAGAGAAACTGAGAAACCTGGCCGGATTTTTTGGAGCTTCCAGTGCCCATTTGGACACAACGTCACAACACCGTCCATTCCCAAACCGTTCAACCAGAAAGGACACCATTTTCTACTCCCCTGCTCTCAAACCAACCCTACCCTGAAGCAACCAACGCCTCCACCCCAACCCTCGCTCCAACCAAGCCCAACACAAAACGTGGCTTCCACCCAGAACCTCCAAACCTCCTCCTCCACCGCCCACAATCAAAACCCGGATAGATGAATAGATGAAGTTTAGCACGGGACAATCCCAACCATTACTCGTTTGCGTTCTGCTCCCCTGCTAAAAGTTTAAAAAGTTAAAGTCCCAACATCCAAGCAAAATGCACCGAAGATTCATAGGCGACCAAACACCAGCCCCCCAAACCCCCCCAACCGCTCCGCTCTCCGAGGACTCGGCAGCAGTTGCTCCTCCTCCACTCCTTGGCACAGCGGCAGCGTTGTCAGGAGCTGCACCAACTGCCGCGCCACAGACCTCACGATGCGTTGGGCCCTCGGCTTCCTGCTTGGCCCAACTCGGGTGTTCTTACTTGTGAAAGAGACGCCTTTTTTTCTTTTTCGGGGGGGAACCTGGGGAACCCTTTGCTTGGTAAGGGAAACCAAAAGGGGAAGCCCAGCATCTTGGGGTGTGCTTGTTTGACACGTACCGACGCCCGGGCCAGCCCACAGAACTGGCCCAAGACGAGAAACCAAGTCACACCAAGGGGTGGCCCGAATCCAGCGGAGGATGGTGCAGCTCCAAGACCATCCTCAGCTCGGCCCCTTTTCCGCGGGAGAGTCTGCCCGCTCTCCAACAATCACAGAAGTGGACGGGAGGGTGTTGGAATTGATGTCTTCACCTGATGAGATGCTGTCCACTTCCAAGATTGTTGGAAAGAGGACACTACAAGGCAAGGGCCTACATAGCTGGCATGTGAAGCTCATGGCAGAATCTGTCTCTCCACATGGAACCCACCGCAAAAAACCACCCACCAACCTGCAATCCAATCCCCTTTCAATGGCACCAGTTTCTCAGAGCCGTTTTAGCCGGGCAAATCAAAAGCCACGGCTTCGGGCGCTTCCTTGCGCTTCTCGCTTCGACGCTTCGGATCGATGTCCGCGGCGCTGCTGCACCAGCCGCGAGGCCTGGCAGAAGCCCAGGCCGCTGCGCAGCATCGCCGTGGAGGCGAAGACGTGGCTCTCGCGAGGCGAGCGAGCGAGCGGCCGAGAGCGGGCGAGGCGACGGTGGTCTCGAGTTCGAGGGGCGGCTGGAAGGCTTTGGAACAAGCAGCTGTGGGTTGAGTGATGATTGAAAAGCATTGATCCAGATTGGAGGTCCCCAATCTGCCAAATGCGTTTGAAGGCAGCCGAGGAATTTTCAGAACAAGCCAAGTTTGATGTCCCCAGAGCCACAGCCCCAGGCCAGCTACCCCACGGCCGCCTCATCATCCAGCGGCGCTTTGATCTGCTGGAACTTCCCCCAGAAAGACTTGGTGAGCAGCTTTTGCTGCCTGCCAGCACGGCACACGCGCGTGGGAGGAGGGAAAGGAGGACTCACTGGCCTCAGCTTTTGCATGGCCATTCGAAGAAAAACATGTCGAAGGTGTCGCGCGACTCATACTAGAAAGTCGGACCATCTACCTACATGGCCATGGTCAAAATCCCGTACCCCCAGCGAACATCGCAATCCCCACTAAAATGGGTTCTAAAATGGGTGGTGAATTCACCTACCAACCAAAATAGGATCCCAAAACGGTTTTGACCCACAGCCGCATATTCTACGCAGATCACGTCCCCTTCGCACGTGCCCCGCTTCAGCTGAGCCAGGCTGGGCCGCTTGAAGAAAGGCCGCTCCTCCAGCACGCAGCTGCCTCGAATGCGCAGCCTCTCCATGAGTTCCGTGGATTTTTGTAGGGAACATCAAATAAGCCTGGTGGAACCCTGGCGGAAATCTCGTGGAACCTTATCTCAGGGCCCAGCACCACCCCGAAGCCTACCTGGGCAGAGAATGCAAAGCCTCCAGCTGTTGGGGAAAAGAGGACTGGCCACCTCAACTGAACAACTCTGCATGCATCACTTCTCTGGCATGGGAGGCCCAATGCCCGCAGCTTTCTTACGCTCCCCGCCTATCTCCAGCCCTGGTATCAAATGAGAACTGGGCCTGCGGGTATCGGAAACGACCCTTTTCTCTGCTTGTAGGAAGGGAGACAACACACCCAATTGGAAGCAAGATTTGCACAATGCCCTATTGCTGCGAACACTCGTTCGATAATGCAAGTCAAGTTCTTACAAGTGAAAAGCGCTTTGAAAGTGCTGTCAACCCCAATGATATGCCGCGCCTTTTCAGCCAAACGGTCAAACCCATGATGTTCACCAGTTTCTCCTCGCTTGTCTCCTGCTAAACAACCAACAAGGAAATAAGCTCAGGTGATATCCCCAACAGCATGCGGTGCTCTTTTTAGTGCTCGCACCACCCCGCCTTCGCAAAACCTCGTGGAACCCTCGTGGAACCTTGTGGAACCCTGGTGGAACATTGGTGGAACCCTCGTCTTACCTCAGGGCCGCCCCGGACCACCCCGGAACCTGTCTCACCCCAAAGCTTTCAGCTGGGGAAACACACAAAGGGAATGGCAATGGGAATGAATGAATGAATGAATGAATGAATGAATGAATGAATGAATGAATGAATGAATGAATGAATGAATGAATGAATGAATGAATGAATGAATGAATGAAGGAAGGAAGGAACGAACGAACGAACGAACGAACGAAGGAATGAAATAAATGAATGAATGAATGAATGAATGAATGAATGAATGAATGAATGAATGAATGAATGAATGAATGAATGAATGAATGAATGAATGAATGAAACAATGAAATGAATGAGTGAAATGAATGAATGAACAAAAGAATAAACGAAGGAATGAATGAAGATAGTAACAAAATCTAACGATCATGATAATGATGCAACATATGATGCTAATCAATAATTATCAAACAGTGGTGACTAATACTAGCAGAAATAACAACACCAACTAGTGGATAATGACAATAGTGGTGATGATGATGACAATAATAAGGAAAAATGTAGCACCAACAATCATCGATAATGTGCGTAAACAATGAAAGTAATAAAATAATAACGCTAAACATTAAATAACAAACAACAAACAATAAACCAGTTTCAAGCAATAAACGAAAATGAAATGATGAATTGATATACATAAAGCAATAATGACAACAATAAGAATGCAAATTCAAAACACTAAATTTGGAATAAACGTGAATAGCAATGGTAATAAGAAAACGAAGCATGATAGTCAAAATAATAAATAACAACAGATCATCATTACAATAGCACTAATGCAGAAGAAGAAGAACAAGAAGAAGAATAATAATGCAGAAGAAGAAGAATAGTAATGATGACAAGAATAATATGTGTGTGTGTGCTTTTAATACCTATATATATATATATGTAGATATATAGATATTTACATTTATATGTAATTATAAAATGTGATGGTAGTTCTCCTCCCAAAAGGCTGATCAAACCGCGGGGGCCGCCTGCCTCGTTGGAAGTCCCGCGCCGCGAAGAGGCCCAGCCCGCGCCCGGGCAGGCCTCCGGTTTCGATGGAACATGGGCGTCCTGCCGACGGGGTTCTGGGAATATGGCCATGGGTCAAAACCCAAATCGTGCCACCAGTGAACATTTGCGTGGAGCCGTATAATGTAAAGGTGGGTCAAAAATATGTACCCAAAATGGGAACCCTGGTAAATGGAAACGTGGATTAAACCTGCGGTGCCATCATGGTGGTTTAATTTTTGACCCATAGCCATATCCTCCCGAACGGACCCTCTCATAGGTTCGTGGCACAATTCAAAGCACGGCTTAGTCCTCCTCTTGGCACGGAAACTCTGCAATGTACTTTTACTTTGTACTTTCAATCTGAACATCTGCACATCCCCACACCTCAACCTTTGTACTCCCCCCCGAGCCCCAGACCTGCCCCCCCCCCCCCACCGCCCCAATCCTCCCCTCGCTTCGAGCGGCGCCGCAGCCGCACGCCCGCCGCCGCCGCCGCCTCGTCGCCTGGCTCGCCGTCCAACGGCAGCAGCAGATCGCCCAGGCCCAGGTGCTCGGCGCGCACCAGCAGCCACCCAAACCTGGCGGCCCCTTTGTGAACTTGACTATATTTGTAGAAATGTGTATGTGTATATATATATATATTTATATATTTATATATATTTTTATATATGTATATTTCACGTAGTGATAGATTCCCTTTAAAACCAACAGGGGAAAATAATAAGTAATATTTAGCAAATGGAAGTGACAAGTTGGGCTGGGGGAAGTGGCCACTGTGATACAAGGACCCAAGCCCAAAGACCAACCGCCCAAGGGGGAGAGTCCCAAAAGTATCGCAGGGATAAACCCCGAGTGATCCCACAACCCGGGTGTGAAATGTTAGAATCCCTTTGTTTGGAACTCATGTCTTGGCTTGCCGAGATGCCTGCTTTGAAGTCGGCCTTTTCATGCTTTCTTGCCAGTTCCTTGATTGAAGATTGAACCTGACTAAAAGTTGTGCGCGGTTTTGGGACATGCCCGGTGTCAACTATGCGGATCCAGCTTGCGATGGTCACAAGGGTTGCCTCGCCCTTATGAAAAAGGCAACCAGGATGGGTGGCGGTTGAACAACCCGTTCTGTAGAAAAGGGTCAGGTCAGCCCTCAAGATTCCAGGAAGCACTAGCATCAAGGCGTCAATGGGCTCAACTTCGGGTGGCCATGCTTTCGGCCCAATCCAGCGGTTGCTTCAGTTGCAGCCAAGCAGACAAATTCCTGGGAGAAGGTAGGGGTGCTTTCCTTTTGTTTTCCTTGCAAACAAAACAACGTGCTTACCACACAGTGCGAGGGATCTTTCGTGATAGCTGCAGTGTACTCCAAACAGACCGACGTCTCTCATGTGTTCCAAGGCACCATGCACGAGTTGCGCACGTACAACTGCTACAAAGGAGCAAGTGCAGATGCATCGGCGTCCACACATCCCGACAAATCCGTGAGAAGAAGCTCTTGAATGCAGACTTGCGGAGTCTTAGCGAGCATGAAAAAGGCTCAAAGTTCGCCCGACGCAAGTGTCGTATGCGAGGAATATTGCACATATCTAGAATTAGGCGAACTAAATTATATTGTTGTTGACCAGTTCACCAGCCAACTTGACACTGATTCCCACTTCGCTCGAACGACTTTCCGCCGCCGAACTGGGAACCCAATTTTTCCCCAAAAGACCGCCCCTGCCAACCAAAACTCCCCAGGTCTCAAGTGCTACATGTTGCGCGCCTCTCTGGGCTTCGGCTGACCAGGGGCGCACCTGCACGAAATGCTGTTTGGGCGCCAAAAGGCCAAAAGCTGCTCCATCGCAAAAAATCGCACAAGTACTCTCCCGCAAATTCAATATGGAACCCAAACAAGACATTCCCCAAAGGAGATTTGTCTGGTTTTTGGGCTTCCACATTGATTTGTTCACATGGATTTGTCGGGGCAGCATCCGCAACCGCCCCCGGAAGCTCCGCAGAACCTCCCCAAACCTAGGTTGCCAGAAGAAGCTGCCACCGCTCGGGGACAATGGACCTCTTTCGTGAACTCGACGCGTTGTTGCTTCTGGGTTCCTGGATCACAGCAAACTAGTTTGCTGGAAAAGAGCTTGGGTCTTTCAGGGTGGCATCGGGCTTGCGCTGCTTTTCGCAGAAGAGCATATTTTGGTGAGCGAGCGCGTGGACTTCCAGTAGGTGGCCTTCAAACATCATAAGGATTGCGACTGTAAGAGATGTTGCCATCCACCAAGTACTTAAGCTCACAGGGCCACATGCACTGTGAAGCGCAAGAGGAGCCAGAACGTCAAGCTCAGAAGCCAAATTTCTAGGAGTTTCTTATTATATTTCTTCTTCTTCTTCTTCTTCCTCTTCTTTCTTCTTCTGGTTCTTAGATCAAAAGCAGCTGCATCACAGGTACAGAGAGGTTTCACGCTGCTACGACTCAAGCGGCTCGCCTCCCCCTCCCACCTGGCCGTAGCAGTAGCGTCGGGCAGCTCAGGCTATAGCGGTTCCTCAGCCCGTGCTCCGTGCGCCTTCCTCATCCTCGAAGTTCTCCCCCTCATCCTCCCTCTCAACGCACCACGCACAGCACCCAAGCTTCTCCTGCGCCGCTTGTTCTGCTCGCAGTCTTCTTCTGCGATGCCTTCGCCCAATCAGGTGCACCGTTACCTTTCTCTGCTCCTTCTGAAGCTGTCTCCTTCTCCTCAAAGCAGCGCCCGAAGGTCAGCCGCCGGCCTTTCCAACACCCGCTCCTTGCTCTCCTCCGGCACCCCCGCGAAAGCCTTGCCATGGATCTGGCCATCCATTCCTGGCCCACCTCCCTTTGCAAGTCCGCGGCTCCAGGGCGAAGTTCTGTGAGCATCGAAGTCGTCAGTGTTTTCCTCCTCCGTGGGCTGCCTCATCACGTGCGTCGCTCCCGAACACAGAAGACTGCCACCTCTACCGCTGCTTCTGGAGCTTCTCGAGTCACCTCTCTCCTTCCATCTTTCCTTTGAGTGCCCCTGAAGCCCTTTCCCCGCAAAGGACTCGACATGACGTCGAAGTAGCCCCCTTCGCTCCCTGGGTAGTTCCTCCGATGCTCTCATTGATGACGTGGACCTGTTCCCTTGTCTGCAGCCTCCTTCCATGCTGAAGAACCGATGGCCCCTTTGCCCACCTCTCTTGTGGAACTTCTTCACCTCCGTCTCCGGAATCATGGCGTCCCTTGCCGGTCCGCCAGATGGGCCGTCTGTTCAACCTCGGCCAAGAGATGCTCGGCAAGCTGCTTCACCACCTCCTGGCCAACGTCCAGTCTCCGGGGGTGTTCTGGCCCTCCCATCTCTAGCCGCAGCCTGCATCTCCACGACCTGGATCACCTTGAACATCTTTTCCTTCCGCTCATCGCACAGGGGCTTCTTCTGCACCATCTGGGAAGGCTGAAGAGCGGTCCCAACGCCTGAGGTGATTCCTGAGGCTCTCAGTTCACATCGGTGCTTTCCCGCTCTGGTGTCAGAAATCCTGTAGACCTCCATCTCAGCCTGCTCCTTCTCCTTCTTGGGGGCCATCACAGCCTGCTCCCGCAACCGGCCATCCTCTTCTGCGGCGCAACCATCCATGGTTTCTGCGCTGGGCCGCTGTTGGGCTCACAACCTATGTTTGCACGGTTCAGCCCGCTCGTTCTTCTTTCTTCTTAGACCAAAGCGGATGAATAACGACTCTAATCACGAACCTGAAAGAAGGAATCTCCAAGTATGCGAGACTTTTAATGAGCTTTCGCGCGTTTTCGACCTGGATGGGTGCCTGCGAGACCTTATTCCAACAAAGAAACTTCTTGATCTTGGACAAAAGCAGCTTAGAACCACGGCAACCAAACAAAACTTAACCCAGCCAAACCACTTACCATGGTAACACTTTGGGGACCAAGCAAACCACTTACTCGTTACTTTGGGCCCCCCATCGCGCCCCCCCCCCCCCCTCCCCTAAAAAAATAGTAAAAAGGGCATTTCAAAGAATAAAACCAAATAATCAAACAGCATAAACACAAATCAGCAAAATTCACAGAAAACAAGATAAGAACCACCAAGCAACTCAAAAACCAGAACAGCCCCCAACAAAATATTTAATCAAAGCATAAAACATTAAATAATTCAAACAAGCATACCAACAAAACAGTAAAAATAAAAACCATCAAAGAACCCAAACTCAAGAACACACATCAACAAATTTCAAAGCAACATACCAACAAAAAATATCAGAAGAGTATCAAACAAAATAAAATACAAACAGCCAAAGCACGAAAAAAACAAAAGAGCATACCAAGTTCAAACAACGCACTTTGAAAGAGTCAGCCAAATCAAGAAAAAATAAAATATTTCAATCTTTACAAACTATAAGTACAGTATAATTATAACATATAAGATTTTACATGTTATTATTATAGTATGATTATAATTTCAGTACAGGATAATAATTTAATTGACAAATCTTTCTTCTTTCATACATCATTTTAAAAATAATATTAATATCTCTCAATGTATTTTGAATATTAAACTTTTTACTTTCAATAAATAATTTGATATTTTCTTTAACATCTTCTCCTTTCTCTTGACTATAGCCCAACATCCATAATATATCATAAATCATTTCATATTTTTTCTTACTGATTTTAAGAAACTGTTTAACATAATCATAAGGTGGTATTTTATTTACAGTTAGAAATATTAAAATCTCATCTTCTACATTTCTATTATGTCTTCCTTTTATTCTCAACAAACATTTGATTAAAAATTGATTATCTCTCCATTCCTGACAATTTTCACATTCGTCTTTTTCATCCATTGAATAATTAGTAATATTATTCACTATTTCATTAGGTAAATTCAATTTATACAATTCCATATTTTCTTTTTTGAAGTGACAACAATCATAGCATTTTTTATTGATATAATTATTGAGTTTATCACCGTTCATTTTCCTCTTATTATATTCAGGCACTATTTCTTTAAGTCATTTTTAAGGCATTAAGTAAAATTAAGAAACAAACCATAAGTACAGTATAATTATAACATATAAGGATATAAATGTTATAATCATAGTATGGGTTTAATCATTATGGCAATACGTTAAATCACCTCACGCAAAGTCATTTTGCACCAACGCAAATCAGCGGTAAGCAAACGCAAATCAGCGGTAAGCAAACGCAAATCAGCGGTAAGCAAACGCAAATCAGCGGTAAGCAAACGCAAATCAGCGGTAAGCAAACACAAATCAACGGTAAGAAAACGCAAATCAGCAGTAAGTTGCCTTGTTTTCTGGGTGATGACACAAAAGAGCAAACCCCAAACTCAAAATTATTAATCCGTCAAACTCATTGCAACAAGTCCAACACTGCCTGTTCCACTAAACATCTCTAATAAGTTCATTATTAAAGATATTTAGATAATATTCTCTATGAATAAGTCCCTGTATCTTCATCATAGTCAATTTGATAAAATGCCATAGTGGAGGACTTCGGCTCTTTTATCTCTTTGTTGTTGAGTTTGTTTAAATACGTTTGTTTCTTATTTTTATATTCACCATTGGTTCGATCTACTTCTTTACTTTGATAACTGTTTGTTAAAGGTTTCTTCTTTTCCATTTCTTGCAAGATTTCTAAAAAATTCTTATTCTGTTCTAAAACCTTGTTCAGTTTTTTAACAATCTTTTCTAATCCTTCATCCATGTAAATATATATTATATTATAAAATAAAACTTTTAAAACTAAACTTTTATTTTACAAAATCATATATCATTATAAGTCAATTCAAAAATAGTTATTGTGTAACTCGTTAAATTATTATTCAATTTACCAATTAAATTACAAATAATAGTTTTTCTAAATTTTGAATATTTATGAAACTTTTCAATATTATCTGTAATATAAATTATTAAACATTTAATACATTCAAACACATTAACAACATTAATGTTACTATTTTTGTAAATATTATTCATTTTTCTCAATGTAATTTCATAAAACTGAATAGCATTTTTATTATCATAATTAGCAATAAATCTTAAAGTATATGAATATATTCTTTTACAATAGAATTTTAAATCTGATTGTTCAAATAAATCAGCATAATTAATAGAATTATAAAACATGTTAAAATCAATTTTGCTATTTCTAAAGTCATTAACAAAATTAATTAATATATCATTTTCATTATATTCTTCAATAAAATTATTTAATTTCAATTCTTTTACATCAATGAATTTAATAATATTATTTATAACATCTTGCATTATAAATAATAATAGAAATAATTTTAACTATTATTTTTTCATCATTCTTTCTCAGGTGTAAATAACCTACCAAATCCACTTTTGAAGTTTTCTACCCAACTTTCTTCAACTGTGCTACCGTCAGCATCTTTCTGTTTTACTGTATGAACTGTATGCATGTTTCGACCACATGAACACGGCCAACATTTAACTTTGACATGTTCTTTATCTAACTCTAATTCATTTAGTGGTTTAATTGCTTGACCGCATTTATCGCATTTGACACATTCAATCTCTTTTTGTTTCTCTTGCTTCTTCTTCGGAGGCATTTATATTTATATTCACATTTTTATTTTTGATATATTGTATAACAAACTTAATTAATTCTAAAACAAAATAACATATTTTTTTGAATCTATTATTAGTTATAACAACTTGTTCTATATTCTCTATTTCATCTATTATATCAATATAATCTGAATAACTTCTATTCATATAAAATAATAAATATTAAATTATTTTCTAAATGTCTTTA